CGCTTGCCTGCCCCATTCCAACAAATCCTACCTCCTTTCTGAGGCTTGACAACAGGGAGTCAGTGGAAGAGGGCCTAGGAGCAGAAGCAGGTTCGAACTCCACCTCAGACACCCACTGGCTGTGTGTCTGACTGTTCAGGGTCTTGGTGGACTCCTCTATAAAACGAGATGAGAAGGCCTCAACGGCCACATAAGGGGTGACTAGGGAACAGAGCAGACGTCCATACGCATGAAACCTTGTTAAACCCATGCTGACCCCTTCTGGGCAGACACCAGCCTGCCTACCCGTCCACATGGGACTACTCTCCACTCCCCCTTCCCAGCTGCCTGGGAAACTGCGGCTTCTTGCTTCCTGGAGTTCTTATCGGTCAAGGCCAACGGGCAGCATCCCATCAACTCCTGACATATGAGCAAATCCACACGAGAAAATGCATCAGAATTTGAACGTTCTGTACAAAATCCTGTGTCTGAGGCCTTGCAGAGAGTTCTGACTGCCCTGTGACACATGGCTGCCACATGTAAAATTGGTCCCCAGCCTGCAAGCCGGCATCTTGCACACAGAACCAACCACATCCAAGAATTTGCTCCTGTGCATCAGGGCGGAGGGCATGAGGGTCCCACTACAGGCCAAGCACGTGACCGTCTTTGGGACTTAAATTTCCCCCAGTCCATTTAACTCCCACCATGTCCCTGTAAGGCAGCCAGGGCGTTTCCATTTCTCAACCAAGGAAACTGACATTCCAGCAGGACAGGAAACTAACTCACAGGTGCTTAACTAGCAAGAGAAAGGGCAGAATTTCGAAGCCCGCCTCAGACACCTGCTGGCTGAGTGTCGTCTGACCTCCGAGTCTCGGCGGACTCACCTACAAATGAGATGAGGAGGCCTCGCAGCCCCATGGTAAGGAACAAATGAACTGGGGTCAGTCTTGCTCCTAAACTTGGACTCTTCTGCCAGTTTCAGCCTTTTCGGGAACGGCAGCCCTTCTGCTTCCCTTCGGCTGCACTGCTACACACCGCAGAGGAGAGCTTCAGCATCCGTGACGGGGACGGTGCGCTCGCCCCACTGAAGTGACAGGCTAGCCCACCAAAGCCACAGAGACAGCCTGAAAGTCCAGAGCTGTCATCGGTAGAAAGAGAGATCTGAGCAGACCATGACGGCGGGGGCTGCGTACTGGGGGAGGATGGGCAAAGCGTGGCAGAGCCCACTTGCCAGATGCAGCCACTGTGAGTGACTGTGTCCCCCCGATATCCCACCTATGTGCCCCCACACACCCAGGTGGGAGGCAGGATCAGGAAGCTTTCAAGAGGTGGAATGACCCTTTTGAACAGGACAGCGCCAACTTTCCCATCCACAAGTCCCTCTGCCCACCCTTGGCCAGCAGCTGCCGCTACAGTCATTTGGTTAAAGCAAGCAGCACTGACTTCCTTCGGCAGAAATGAGGATCCACGCCCCAGTAGCCAGGATGGTGACCGCCACTCACAGACGCACCCGGGGCAGTTCCTGCTCGGGCCCTTGCAAAGCCAGATCCCAAATTAACTGAGCCCCGTCTGGCTCCTCGAGGGCGGGCAGCGGGAAGGCAGGCGCCTTATAAACAGGGAGACCGCCAGGCCTCCCGTCTGCCTCCTGCACAGCTGACTTGCAGAGAAGAAAGACTCTCTTCCCGCTGGGTGAAGTCTGTTTAGGCCACTGTCCCTCGAATTCCACACCCCCACGTCTGGAACCCTGTTTCCTTCAGCCGTAAAGCAAGCAGAGTCACAAAGTAACAGTGTGCACTTGGGTGGAAAACTCTGGAAACGCCAAGCCGCGCAGGAGCTAGAATGGCAAGGAACTTCCACCTCTGATGTGTTACAAACCGGGTGAGCGCAGACCTCTCTGTGACCCGCACGGCTGGACTAATTACCAATGTTATCAAGCGGATGACAGACATGCCCCGAACTTCCTCTGTGTGACAGATCCCACTGCACACACACCCAAGTTCAGGCCCCTGCCTGCTGTTCTCAGCAGTGCCTTATTCTTTCCTAAGACCACTCCTGACCGGCACTGCTCTGACCGCTGCCCCATGCCTCCAGGGTCAGCCAAGCCAACGTACCCAAGTACCAGCCCAGTGACTCAGGAAAGGTACCTCCCCCAGAACACACCACCCAGAACCAGTGAAAACTCCTCCTTCCAAGTTTTTCTGAGGAACAGAAAACATCTCTCCCTTCTCTGCATGGATTTTGGAGATTAAAACTGCTGCTTACCTTCGTCGATGCTGCCACCGGGGAGCTCCAGCTCACAGGTCCCTGGCGGGTTAGCCCTTGGCCCGCACACACCAGGGTCCCACACTCCATGCAAGCGCCGATGATCAGCTGCTGTCCGTCATCCACCAGCAGGCTGTGGCTTGCTCGAAGGGTGTATAGGAACAGGGGCAGCCGGGCCACCCGCACAGACTTCAGCCCCAGACACCGTTTCTTCTCCTGCTGGCAAAAGAAGCACACGAATGTCTCCACGTGGTACTGCCGGGACCAGGCGCTGACAGCGTGATGGGTGCTGCGGGCCTCGTGCTGCAGCCATTGGGCCAGCAGGTCATGGTAGCAGAGCACACAGGTGGCCACCAGCCCGGTGGAGTCCACAGGCCTGGCACGAGGGGCAGGCGGGTACACAGTGAGGAAGGGGAAGAAGGGCTCCTTCTCGCCCAAGCGGCTGGCGGGGTTCACATTGAGCTGGAACTCCTTCCCGGGGCCCAGTTCAGCCCCACAGATGTAGCAGATGGACACGGGGCCGCCCTGGGCTGATGCAGGCAGCTCGGAGAGGGTAGGGTCAGAGGCGGAGAAGGCCTGGTGGTATCTGCCCAGGAAGCCCTGCACGGAGGTGATGAGCTCCTCCTTCTGGCAGGCCCGGTACAGGGCCCAGACGTCCTCCAGGACGCTGAAGCACTTGGGGCAGCTGCGGACCTCGCAGCGCTTGTTGGGGCCCTGGGCGTTGGGCGGGCAGGGCAGGAGGCTGAGGAAAGGGAAATGCATGGCGCTCCTGGCATTGCCGTTGAGGATCCTGGAGGGCACCGCCCGGGCATCCGGGGTACAGTCCTCCCCGCAGAGGTAGCAGGCCTCTCGCAGGGCCCCAGGGGGCAGGCCCTCTTCCCTGGGGAGTCTCCTGCCCTTGGAGGCCATGCCGGGGGCGTGGCTGTCCAGGGGCACCACGTAGAGTCGCTGCAGGACCGGCACGTTGGCCAGCTCGAAGCTCTGCCACTGCTGCGTGAGGGAGGAGAAGCAGCTGGCGCACACTAGGGTGCTGCCGCCCTCGCTGATGGGCTGTGCCCCTGGGGGCGGGCTGTGCAGCCACAGGAAGGGGAAGAACGGGGCCTGCGCCAGCTTCTCCTGCTTCTGCACGTGGACCTGGTGGTGCGAGGCCGGGGACAGCGGGGACCCGCAGATGTAGCAGCAAAGGCCCTCTGGTGGTGCCGCCCGGCTGTCCGGGAGGACCCGGGGGCCACGGCCACTGTTCTCCTTCTCTTTGGGGTTGCAGGAGCCTTGGAAAGGCGACTCCTTGTGATCCTCTTCCCCGCTGGTGATGTTGATGTCACTGTCCTCGGACGTGCAGAAGCCCCGAAGGGTGTCCCCCAGAGGCCTGCTCTCCAGAGGCTTGGTGGCCCTGCCGGAGGGGGGCCCTTTCATGCCGTCTGCAGGGGCCTGTTGGACAGGAAGGCCCTGCCAAGGATCCTGAATGCCCCTCAGAACGCTGGCCCGGGCCTCGGGAACCCAGTGCCTCCCAACCGCCTTCCGCCGGCGCCTAACCCCGGCCTTGGGCTCTCCATCCGCGTGGACCTTCACAGGGAGTCCCTCCTCCTCCACGCGCCCCTGCACCGGGGCCTGTGCGCCCGGTCCCGGAGGGTGTCCCGGAGCCGATCTCCACTCCTGGCCGCGCCCCCCGCGAGGCCCTGGCCCCGGGAGGACCCGCGGCGCCGGCGCCCTGTCCTGGTGGGGGCTGGCGGCGTCGCGCGCGGGCGGGTCGGGCTCGGAAAGGGGGTCGGTGTCCGACAGCTCCGACAGGTCGGAGTCTCGCGTCCCCTCAGCTGCCCCGCGGAGCCGGGGGCCGCCACCGTCGTCGTCGTCGTCGCCCGCGGCGCTGCCCAGCGCGTAGGCGACGTTCCACTCGCGGGGGGCCCCGGCGCCGCCGCGGCGGCCGCCCGCGCCCGCGTCGCACTGGTGGGGCCGCTTGAGCCAATACATGCGCTTGTCCACAGGCGTGCGGGCGCGCTCGAAGGCGGCCCACTGCTCGCCCAGGAAGCAGCGGCACACGGCGCACACCAGCACGCAGCCGTCCGCCGGGGACAGCTCGCGCGCGCCGGGCGCCGGCTCCTGCTGCTGCAGAAACGGGAAGAAGGGCTGCGCCGGGGCCCCCGCGCCCGCCGCCGGCTGCTTCACCTGCAGCTTCAGCTCCTTGCCGCGCCCGATGCCGCCGCCGCAGATGAAGCAGGAGAGTGGCGCGCCGCCCGCCGCCCGCTCGCCCACGGCTGCCATGAGCCGCTGCTTGCGGGAGACCGGGGCCGGCCGCCCGCTCATGGCCGCGCCGCGCCGCCCGCCCGGGTCCCCGCGCGCCCCGGGCCGCCCTCAGCGCCCGCCCGCACCGCCGCCGCCGCGCCCAACTTGGAGCATGTGTGCGCGCCGCAAAGTTTGGCGGCGGGCGGCCGGCGCGGGCGCGGACGCACGGCCGCTCGCAGCGGCGCCCCCCGGGGCCTGCCGAGCCCCCGGCGGCGGCGCGGGCCGAGGCGGCGCCGCGGCGAGCGCGCCCGGAACGCGGCGGCGGCGGCGGCGGTGGCGGCGGCGGGGCCCAGGCGGCTGGAGCGGCAGCCGCATGTGCGAGCTCCGGCGCCTGCCAAGGCGTGGGGTCATTTAATTGGGGAGGAGGGGGCGGGGCGGCGGCGGGCGGGAGGGGCGGGGAGGGGCGGAGAGCGGGCGCGCGGCGGGCGGGGGAATCCCTCCCCGCGCGCTCCCTCCCCCGCCCTCCTCCTCCCCGCCTCCCTCCCGCCCGCCGCCGCCTCCCCCCGCGTCCCAAACTGCGCACAATAGCGGCCGGCTCCTCTATCTATTTTGTGTCCAGCCGGAGCGGCGCGCGATGATTCATTGCCCCAATTAGGGGCTCTCTCCAGCGCGCCAGGCTGAAGCCGTCTGAAGGGTCTCCTGGGGGACCCGCCGAAACCCATCAGCGGCTAGAGCTGGTCTTTAAGTAAAGGTCAAGCAGGACGCGGGAGGAGCCAGGTAAGGACGCGGTGGGCGCCCTTGGAGACAGAGGAACCCCCCGCCCCAGGGCCGCGGTAAGGGCAGCCCAAACCCAGATGCAGGCACCCTGCCGGGGTTCGCTCAGGGCGGTCCTGCCCCCTCTAAAGGGGTAACCAAGCGAGAAGCCCTTTTCAGTCCCTAACAGGCCTGGGTTGGGGACACCATTCTGGGCCCCATGTTCTAATTATGGAGAGAGCGAAGAGGAGTCGTCCCAGTCTCCCTGGACCCACTAGTGAATGCAGCATCCAGCAGACAGTCTGGGGCCTGCTCTGCCCCGTCCCCACCGCCGCCAGGGGTCACTGGGCCACCAGCAGAGGTAGAAAAGTCCTGTGTGTCCCAAGTCCAGTGACCCAACCTCTCTGGGCCCTGGCAGCAGGGGATTAACTGTTTCCGTGTCTTTATTGTACACGTGTAGAGATCCGTTGTATCTAACAGGCAGGCTGTTGTAAATGCTTCTGCACTTCACTCAATTGCTCCTCCCAGTAACTACAGGTTAAGGGTGGTGATCAGCCTCATTTCACAGACAGCAAAGAAGTGGCATTGACTGCGAAGTTATGCATCCAAAGGGGGCCAAGCGGGGCTCAGACCCAGGCCGTCCGGCTCCAGGCCCTGCTCTTGACCACCGGGGTGAGTAGCTGTGCGAGGCAAATGTCTGGTCCATGTCACCAGTCTGCTGATGGGGACTGTCCATGGCAGGACAAGGCCAGGATCCTGGGTCCTCCCAGATGATCTGGCTCAGGCCCTGGTTCAGTGCAGGCATCACCAGACCTCTCATTTCCCATCTGTGAAATGGCATCTTTTCCAGCTTCAAAATTCTACGAGTCTCTGACTTCTGGGCAGTTTACAGCTTCCTCACACCATTCTCAGCCCGGGGACAAAGGTGCCCGGTGGTCCCCTCCACCCACTGGGACGCTGAAATGTAAGTAAAACTGGGCTTCCTCTTGGCAAGGAAGAGAGCCATGCATTATAAATAAACGCAAGAAGGCCTCAGCGCCGCCCGCGCCGCTCTTCGGAATCCCTGGGGGATATTCCAGGGCTCAGGGTCCAAGGGTTAACAGGAAATCGTCATTGCCAGAGATGGGGGACTTTGGGCCTTCACCCTGGCCCAGAGGAATGCTGTGTCAGCAAAACTGTCCCGAAGGAATGTTGGGGGTGGGGCAGGGGCTTCTTGGCGCCTGGCACTTTTAATACCTGGAGAGAGGAGGGGAGCTGATTAGGAAAAGTTGGAAGGGCAATGCCTGTTGAATTGCATCCTTGCCGAGTTAGAGAGGCTGTTAGGTCCCACACAGACCAAGAGGCTGCTGGTCAGACACTGCCCGGCCTGGGACATCGGGTCCGCTGGTGAGTTAAATGTGGGTTCCTCAGGGCTGCTTCAAATTCGTTTCGGGCTCATCTTTGTGGCCGTGGCCCCGGTGTCACCCTCAGGCCTCCCTTTCTTCTCCTCTACAGCAGGTGCTGTGCCACACTTCGCCATCCCCCAGAATCCTGATTTTATTGATTTTTTCTGTCCACTGCTCCTGTCTGCCCCTTCCCCACCCCCCAGAATCCTAGGTGCTCCCTCCTGAGGGCAGGATCCTGTCTTGCTCACTGGAGATCTGGGGCCGGGCTCAGTGCCTGAGTCCCACACACCTGGGTCTCAGTCCTGTTTCTTCCCTTGCCAGCTGTGTGAGCCTTGGGCAGACTTCTTACCACATGACCTCTCGGTTTTCTGCTCTGCACAATGGGAGTTGTTAAATAAATAGGGATTTGAGCACAGGGATGGGGTGAGTGACCGTGTGTGTGTTGCCCATTCTATTTTCCAGTGGTTAAAGAGGTTCTCTGGCTACCTGTCTGCACTACCGTGTGCTATGGAGGGCCACTGTGATGAGGTGACACGCAGAGTCTGAGGGAAGAGGACCGTGGGGTCAGCCAGACCAAAAGAGAGACGTAGGGTTTGCTTGGCTGACCTGGAATCCTCCAGGAGGTGTTCTGAGTATGCACCATATGTATGCAGGGGTGCGTGTGTGCGTGATTCTGCATTTGTTAGAATGTATACATGTGGGTACATGTGCATAGTTATATATGTATGTGCAACCTACGTGCGAGCATGTGAGTATGCATGTGTGTGTGCATTTGTGTGTGCATGAGTTAACCTGTGTGCTTCTGGGTGTCTGCCGTGTGTGCATGTCAAGTGGGCCAGGAGTAGGAGTGGGAGGCATCCAGCTGCATGTTTGTCTTCCCTTCAATGACCCAGTGACTCAGGAAAATCCCCTGGAACACGTCTTGGGAGCCAGGAAGCAGAGTGAACACAGATCAGAGGAGAAGGCCGGTGATGATGGCCACTCCTCTGGGTGGATGACATGGGGGCAGGGCCGCTGCCCCAGCGCAACACGCCAGATTGACATCACACCTCTGCCATTTACTAGCTGTGGTGGCTTTTGGCTTGCTCCTTTACCTCTCTGAGCCTCAGTTTCCCCATCTGTAAAGCAGAGCCAACTCGACAGTGTGCAGGGAGAGTGAGCTGAGCCAATGCCAGTAAAGCACTTTGTGTCGGGATGCAGAATAGCAGGGACAGAAACACTCGCAGCCTATGTGAACATCAAACATCCAGCACGCACGTTCGGTGTCAAGCACATGCCAGGACCTCTGCTTTGCAGGTGCCGACTCAACGAATCTTTCCCAGAAGCCCATGGGGTAGATTCTGTGGTACCCGTGAGTTTAGGGGTGAGGAGACTAGGGCCCAGGAGAGGGAAGTCACAAGCCCAGGGTCACACAGCATCGTGGAGCTGGGACTGGCTCCCAGGCTGCGTGCCTCTGAACCCCCTGCTTTGCTAGCTAGTGAAATTCACCGTGCTTTCAATCCTAAGACGCCAGGACTGGAAAAGCCTAGAGTCTGATCTCCCCTCTGCTCACATGTGTCCCCAGTTTCACACCAAAGGAAACAGGCCCTCACATGTGCCCGTCTGGATGCAAAACAGGCCAAGTTTATGCCAGGAGATGAGAAGAAATGCCAGGGTGCATTGGCACGAACTTCACACGCCAAAGTAGACTTGAAGTCCCTGTTTCTAATAGAAATGGGCAAAAGGCTCAAACAGGACTAAGCCATCCAAACATCCCTGCCAAGAGCTGCTGACGCCACAGCCTTACCATCCCCAGCAGAGCCATCTCTTGGCTTCCCTCTAAGCCCTACACCCCACCCTGCAGCTGGAGAGAGGGTGCCAGGCTCCCTCCAGACCACACACTGCACAGCCCGGCTCTCCATCCTTCAATCATAGGACTTGAAAAGCATTGACAGACGCTCACAGACAGACTCTGCATTGGGAGCAGGTAAAAAATGCCCACCTGGATTCTGCAGGAGACAGGAGGCCATCAGCAGGGAGTACCTGGACACATCTCAGATCTGCAGCTACCTGTGGGTTCGTCTTAACCCAGAAACCGCAGGACTCTGCCCTCATCCCACCTAGGAGAGCTCATTTCCAGCCTCCAAACTTACCGGCACGTTGTTTTGTGTCTCTGTCTGTGCCTGCCTCTCCCACTGGGGCAGAACCTGAGCTGGCTTGCCTTGCCCTGCCCAGTTTCATAAAGCTGTGGACATGGTTGGGGACCAATCAGTGCTTGAACTAGGGACGCTGCTAGACTCTATCCAAAACCTCTCTCACTATGCCTTCCAATTCCAGAATCATTCAGCTGCCCAGCCAGCTTCTACTGCGCCATCTTTTATTCCTCCTGAGTGCCATCAATCAAGATTAAACTCTGCCATGTGCCCCTGGCTTTTCTCAGCCCTGCAACCCGGCTTCCCTTCTCACTGGGGCCTTTTGCCCTTTTCCTCCTCCTTCTAAACTGCGCCTGTGCCTCTGGCATCCCTCCCAGGACCCACTTACCTTCTTAGGCTGGTCTATCCTCCTCTTTTCAGAGGTGATGTGTGCTGTGTTGGCCTCTGGCTCACTAGGGACCAGAAAAACAAAATATATCATCTGACTGCCCTAATTTTTTCTTTTTTCTTTTTAAATTCTTTTTGCTTAAGAATGAAGCAAGCCCTTCCCTGCTATCCTCAGGAAGAGCTTCAAACATGGCAGACCACTGGCAAAAATATATCCTCCTTCTCAGAGGGAAAGAATGTAACTGTTAACAACAAAAATCGCTGGGATTTGTGGAGGCCTTGGGCTTACAAGCCAGTTCACCTCCATGCACTCACGTGACACAGCGGCACATGGAGGCATCACATCCATTTTAGAGAGAGGGAAACTGAGGCTCCAAAAGGCAGGGGTTTCCCCAAGGGCACCATTCCTGGAGTCAGGAGAAGCTGCCAGCTTCAGGGCTGATGAAACTTCGTTGCATTTTGTATGCATTTACTGTGCTGATTTGTGAAATATAAACATTAAACACATGCAGCACATTTGGTAACCCTGTCTTAGGGTCTTGTTGCCTTTTTATTTTATTTATGCATTTCATTTTTGAGACAGAGTCTCACTGTCACCCAGGCTGGAGTGCAGTGGCACAATCCCAGCTCACCACCACCTTCGCCTCCCGGATTCAAGCAGTCCTCCTGCCTCAGCCTCCCGAGTAGCTGGGATTACAGGTGCCCAGCTAATTTTTCTATTTTTAGTAGAGACGGGGTTTTACCATGTTGGCCAGGCCGGTCTCAAACTCCTGACCTCAAGTGATCCACCTGCCTCAGCCTCCCAGAGTGCTGGGATTACAGGCTTGAGCCACCGCGCCTGGCCACCTTGCATTTTTAAATACAGGGGCTTCTGAACTTGGAAGTGGGTGGAGCATTTTCTGTCTTGGGGGTCTGAGATAACTTGGGCAAAAACAGTTTGTAAACAGCAAAGTGCCTTTTTAAACAATCACGGTTTACATTACACCATTAAGTGTCAGACCACGGGCTACAGATTCATAGAGCAGAATCAGGGGCTCTAAAACCTTGCCTTGCTCCCCTAAGCCTGAAAAAGAACCCAGCAGAGAAGAGCCCAGTCTCCCGCTCCGGGAGACATTGTCCCCCACCCCAGCCGTCACCATCTCCAAATCCGAGGATATTGCCGTGAACTTCGGGGCCTCATAAAACTCCTTTGATAAATGATCACCAGAGCTGACCTGCATCTGGGGTTGATGGGACAAACACTCACATAAATCTGGGGTCCCTTGCCGCCAGCTTCTCAACAGGCCCCTCATAGCAACCATTTATGTGGTGTGTCCCCAAGCTTCCCAGCCACCGAGGTTTCTTGGTGGGGCACAGGTGGGCGGGGTGGGGGCACAAGCAAAGGGAGACAAGCCAGAGCAACCCAGAACTACCATGAGGGTACCCGGCCTGCCGTTGGCGCTCAGTGCTAACCAGCGCACAGCCTGCAGTGGCAATAGCTGACGTTTAACTAGAAGCCAGGCACCGGGTTCAGAGCTGATATTCATATTATTGTCCCATTTGGGTCTCACACCAGCCTAAGAAGTAGGCACGATTACATCGTTTTACAGATGAGGACACAGAGGCTTGGAACAGCAAACCCGTGTCCCCTGTGTCACAAAGCTGGGAAGTGTCGAAGCTGCACTGAGAGCCAGTCTGGCCAGATCGCCTCACTCTCATCCGCCCTGCCGCGTGCTCAGCTCCCAGCCTGTTAGGCCGCCTTCCCAGATCCTTCCCTGTCCCTCAGGGGCTCCTGCCAAGGATGCTAATGGTCAGGCCTTGCTGCAGGCCGCTGAGTCCCGCCTGTGGCTTCATCAGCGGCCGCCACCTTCAGTACAGGTTTCCCCCGCTCTCTGGCACTGGAATACTCAGTGGGCTGCAGCAGGTCCCCCGAGCTGCCTAACGGGAGGCGGTGAAATCAACAGCAGCAGATTATTTCCAGCTGCTGCTCTGAGTCACTGAAGCATGTTCCAAACCCAGCCGCCAGCCCGCCTTCCCTGGCCTCTGATTTATGCAGCGGATAGGTCGTTGCTGGACTCATGGATAGGGACATGAGGTGGGACTGGGGCATGCATCTGACGCTACACCGGGGTGTCACTTTTTCAAAACCTTTTACGGAAGTGTTGCCTCCGTAGAGAGAAGTGTACATCATTATCCGTGTACAGCAGGCTGAATTTTCACAAACAGAACATGTCTGTGTAGCTAATACCCAGAAATAAGGCATGTCCAGACTTCCAGCAGGCCCCCAGGTACCTGCTTCCAGACCCTCCCCTACCCCCGAGGGTAACAACTTAGAGCCAGATTTCCAGGCACCTTGCCTTTTTTTTGAGATGGAGTTTCGCTCTTGTTACCCAGGCTGGAGTACAATGGCGCGATCTCGGCTCACCACAACCTCCGCCTCCTGGGTTCAGGCAATTCTCCTGCCTCAGCCTCCTGAGTAGCTGGGATTACAGGCACGTGCCACCATGCCCAGCTAATTTTTTGTATTTTTAGTAGAGACAGGGTTTCACCATGTTGACCAGGATGGTCTCGATCTCTTGACCCCGTGATCCACCTGTCTCGGCCTCCCAAAGTGCTGGGATTACAGGCGTGAGCCACCGTGCCCGGCCGACTTCTTTTTTTTTAATTTTTATTTGTTTATTTTTGAGACAGAGTCTCACAAGGTTGCCCAGGCTGGAGTACAGTGGCGCAATCTTGGCTCACTGCAACCTCCACATCCTGGGTTCAAGCGATTCTCGTGCCTCACCCTCCCAAGTAGCTGGGATTATAGGCACCCACTGCCACACCCAGCTAATTTTTTATACATTTTTTAGTAGAGACAGGGTTTCACTATGTTGGCCAGGATGCCCTCAAACCCCTGACCCCGTGATCCACCCGCCTCGGCCTCCCGAAGTGCTGGGATTACAAGCGCGAGCCACCGCGCCCGGGCCGGGCATCTTGACTTCTAACACCAAGACCATTTTACTTTTTAGCGGCTTTGTTGAGACAGCATTCAAATACCACACAATCCACTCTTTCAAAGTGTACAGTTCAATGGCCTTTCGTATATTTACAGAGTTTTCAACCACCACCATCCGTTTTAGAGCATTTTTATCACCCCCAAAAGGAACCTTGCACCCTCTGGCTCTCGCCCTCAGCACCTCCATCCCCCGCTCCACCCCTACCCCGCCCAGTCCCTGGAAACCATTCATCCACTTTCTGTCTCTGTGGATCTGCGTGTTCTGGACAGTTGGTCTCAATGGGATCATACAGCACCTGGTCTTCTGTGACTGGCTTCTTCCGCTGGGCATAGTGTTTTCAGACCGAGCCTGTGTCCGCGCAGCTGGTTTTTAACCTTCGCGAAGTGAAGGTAAGCGTCTCATATGTACTCTTCAGGTCTGGCTTTTTGCTCTACGCCGTATCTGTGAAATTCTTCCCTGTTTTTGCAGTACTTTATTCTTTTTTCAGTGCTATATAGGAGTCTGCGGATGAATATTCTGTCATTCATTGGTCCGTTCCGCCACTGGTGAGCTTCCAGGGAGTTTGCATTTGAGACTCACATGATTAAGTGTTTTTCTGAAGATTATGTCATGTCTTCTGTTGCAAACCCAAAATGCAGGCTGGGTGTGGTGGCTCCCATCTGTAATCTCAGCACTTTGGAAGGTTGAGCGGGGAGGATGGCTTGAGTCCCGGAGTTCGAGACCAGCCTGGGCAACACAGTGAGACCTCGGTTCTGCAGACAGATTTAAAAGTGAGCTGGTCATGGTGGCAAATGCCTGTAATCCCAGCTACTGGGGAGACTGAGACAGGAAGATTGCTTAAACCCAGGGGTTCGAGGCTGCAGTGACCTATGATCATGCCACTTGCACTCCAGCCTGGGCGACAGAGCAAGCACCCACCTCCAAAACAACCCCAAAATCCCAAAATACATAATGCATTTCTGTTGAATAAATACCCAGGAGTCAAATTGCTAACCATGGGTCAGTGTACATTTGACTTTAATGCATACTGAGGTGTCTTAAATCACATTCATAGGGGCCGTGGAATTCCCAAGCTTCCCTGCTTCCCAGACTCAGTCCTTCCCGACTCCTCCCCTCTGCTGCCCACCCACCAGCCCGACCTCCTGGGCAGCCTCTTACAGGGAAGCCCCTGCGCTGCAGAGCAGCCGCAATGAAGTCCTTACAAGCTGCAGAGGAAAAGGGCTTGGTGGCCAAGAGTTTGGTTGGGTTTTGCTAGCACACATGGTCTCTCTGCCCTGGCTCTGAAACTGTGTTCCTTTCACGGGCCAGAAATACTTAGGCATGGCTCACTCTAAAAGGGGAAACACATTTTTAAATTCCAATCTGCCTGGGTCTCAGAATGATTTAGAACATTCCAGCTGTCTGAAGGACAGCGCTCACCAGGAACAGTGGCTTAGTTTTCAGACCCCAAGATCAATCACTCACCATTTTGGGTCCTGACTCCTCCCGGTCCTGGGTTCAATGTGCATTTCTTCTGCGGGATCTGGGTTCAAATACTGTGCAGAGTCCCAGCGTACGAGCAGCAGGCCGCGACAGCGGCAAGCGCATGCGCCTTCGAGTGAGCCCGCGTCAGGACAGCAATCCGAGCCCTTAGCCAGCTGAGCTAAATCTGCGCCTATCAACCCGTTCCAGCCTCTCGCTGCCCGATGAGGTGGGTGCACACGTATAATTTGCACTTTACAGATGAGGAAACGGAAGCACAGAAGGGCTAAGCTATTTGCCCAAGATTGCACAGCTTCTAACAGACAGAGCTGGGATTTCAGCCCCGGGCTCTCTGGCTCCAGACGCCACACTGAATACTGCACTTCTTTGCTCTGGATTTCAAAATCTAGATGGAAATCAGCCCTGCCATTTATTATCAGCGTGGCCCCTGGTGAGTGGCTGAACTTGGGAGCCACGTTTCCTTACTCCACGTGGGTGTGGCTCGATAACCACGCCCACGACACCCCCTCTCAAGAGATCCGATGCCAAAGGGCCTCGAACACAGTAGACACTGTGCAAAGGTTCATCTCCCCACCACCGGCACCCCCACCCACTCCCCGAAACAGTTCCTGCCTTCCATAAGCACCTGCCTCTAGAAGCCTGCATTTTTAGAGAGTTGAGACATTGGATGTGCTCCAGCTCACCCCCTGAATTTGAGAGGTGCAGGGTCCGAGGCCCAGGGCAGCCCTGACTTGACCAAGGTCACACACGGTCCAACTGGAACTCGCATTCCTGGCTCCCAGCTTACAGCTCCTTTTGCCCCTTTGGAAAAGGGCCATTTGTGGTTATGAGGCTGAGGAGCCCTCACCCCGTCGTTCAAGAACTTCTTCCTGACTCGTTTCTTCCCGAGAAGGCTGAGGGTTGGCTCAAGGGAGGTCGAGCTCTGGCCTGAAGGGAGAGCCAGAGAAAGTCTGATTCTGGGCTCCCAGGCTCCGCATCCAGTGGGATGGGGTGGGGGCAGGCAAGGAGGCTGGGAGTCAGGCCCAGGT